AATATACAGCAAGCTAACTGATGGAGGAAAGTCATTGCTAATAAAGAAACTGCCTCGGCCTATTTTGATAGGCCATCCCTTAGGTGGGTGGAGTAGGCAGAACAGAATGCTGGGAGGAAGAGGAAGTGAGCTCAGACTCGATAGCTCTCCTCTCTGGGGCAGACGAGATGAAGCTCTGACTCAGGATGGACATAGGCTAGAATCTTCCCAGTAAGCACACCTCGGTGCTACACACATTAATAGAAATGGGCCAGACAGTGTTTAAAAGAATACAGTTTGTGTGTTGTTATTTCGGAGCATAAGCTAGCCAGGCATCTGGGAGCTGGGTGGCAGGAACGCAGCCCACATCTCTTACTACAGCTAACATTAAACTAAATGGAGAGAACTCAAAGCAATTATACTAAAACTCTTCCCATTACCCCTCACCCTCTCACCTTCATGACTTCATGACTTCTTCCTGCTAAGTCAACTTATTGTTGCTCCTGTGTACATCAATTTAGGGATGATCATTTTCAGGTGTACTAGCTCATAGACCACAAGCCACACACAGTCAGAGTAACTCTGAATTCAGTCCCCCAATCATAAACTTTTTCAAAACTTTGAAGTTTGGAGTTTGGGGAAAAATACAATTTCTTGTAACTCAATTTTTGGTTTGAAGGCATGGATTTTTTAGGTGACTATGTTGTCAAACAATGTCAAAAAGTCTGACTTGGAGCTGCTGGAGGTTGTCTGGATGCCAGCAGAAAGGGGCTGAGCATCCCTAAGCAGAACAGTCATGTTGCACAAACAAATTTACTATTCAGACAAATAAGAGGAGGCGTTCGAGTACCGCCATGTTATGTTGCCCAAGGGCATAGTCAAGCTGGTCCCTAAAACCCATTTGATGTCTGAATCTGAATGGAGAAATCTTGGTGTTCAGCAGAGTCAGGGATGGGTCCATTATATGATCCATGAACCAGAACCTCACATCTTACTGTTCTGGTGGCCACTACCCAAGAAGCGAAAAAAATGAAGCTAGCAAGCCACCTTTCAGTCGCAAGCTTTACACAGCTGTCCTTGCTTCCTACCATCTTTCTGATGGTGTGATTATGTTGCTTTCTTATTTCTCACTTTGATATTTAAAGGATGTTTGTTCAATTTTCTGTTTAAAGTGCTGAGAGCGCTTTGCTTCTTGAGTTGAGCCACCAATGCCACAACCCTGTCAGATGAATGTTACTTCAAAGCCCCAGTGTGCTCTGTATCCAGCAGGCCATATTATCCAGCTCTCAAAAGCATGTGTAATCAGATCATGGCTGTTACAGAACAGTGGGAATTTGCTGTTGTGGTTTTTACTATTGGGTGTTGCTTTTATGGTGACTTATAGGTTTATATTTCAGTATTTTGGAAACCCTCCATTTTATCTGATAAATCTCTTCCATGTTACAAGCCTTGATTAAAGGAAGTTTTTATAATTTAAAGCTGTGGTTATAAGATTATCCTGTCTCCATGATATTGTGTGCCCCCTCTATTCCTTCTGAGCCCTCCTGCAACCAAGGTGATACTATGGAATCATTCTGGTTCTGTGCCTTTTGGGTGGGTGGTGAAAATGGGTCTTTGCAAAAAGGAACTTTACTTGGATATTGTAATAACAAATTTATAATCTATTTTAATTGGACTTATTGTAAAATATTTGTTGAGGGTCTGGAGAGATGGCTCAACAGTTAGGAGCATTGGCTGCTCTTCCAAAGGATCCAGATTCAATTCCCAGAACCCTCATGGCAGCTCACAACTGTCTATTACCCCAGTTCCAGGGGATCTGACACCCTCATACATATATACATTCTGGCAAATCACAAGACACATTAAATAACTAATTCTTTAAAAAAAGTTCGACTCAAATGCATATTTGACACTTTCACATTAACACATCCAGTTTATTTCTCTGGATCTCTCCCACCCAGAAACTTTTCAAAACTGACCCATCATTTTAACAGAAAGTCTCTCAGTTGACCTTTCAGTCAGAGCTTGTCTTTTTTTTTGTTTTTTTTAAATTTATTTATTTATTAAAGATTTCTGTCTCTTCCCAGCCACCGCCTCCCATTTCCCTCCCCCTCCCCTAATTAAGTCTCCCCCCAGCCCGAAAAGCAATCAGGGTTCCCTGTCCTGTGGGAAGTCCAAGGAACCCCCCACCTCCATCCAGGTCTAGTAAGTTGAGCATCCAAACTGCCTAGGCTCCCACAAAGCCAGTACGTGCAGTAGGATCAGAAACCCAGTGCCATTGTTCTTGAGTTCTCAGTAGTCTTCATTGTCCGTTATGTTCAGAGAGTCCGGTTTTATCCCAGGCTTTTCCAGACCCAGGCCAGCTGGTCTTGGTGAGTTCCCAGTAGAACATCCCCATTGTCTCAGTGTGTGGGTGCACCCCTCATGGTCCTCAGTTCCTTGCTCGTGCTCTCTCTCCTTCTGCTCCTGATTTGGACCTTGAGAATTCAGTCCTGTGCTCCAATGTGGGTCTCTGTCTCTGTCTCCTTTCATCGCTTGCTGAAGGTTAATATTCAGGAGGATGCCTATATGTTTTTCTTTGGGTTCTCCTTATTTAGCTTCTCTAGGATCACTAATTATAGGCTCAATGTCCTTGGTTTATGGCTAGAAACCAAATATGAGTGAGTACATCCCATGTTCCTCTTTTTGTGTCTGGCTTACCTCACTCAGGATAGTGTTTTCTATTTCCATCCATTTGTATGCAAAATTCAAGAAGTCCTTGTTTCTTACTGCTGAGTAATACTCTAATATGTATATATTCCATACTTTCTTCATCCATTCTTCCATCAGAGCTTGTCTTTATTTCACAAGTCCATTGTGTCATGCCAGGGTAATCAGGAGGCAGAGTTTGAAAATCACTGAAGAAAATAAACATTTCCTCTACCTCCTTATTCTGCTTGAACTCAACTAATACCAAGGCAGCCAGGAGCAGGGGAAATGAGTGTATCCAGAAGGTCATTTGCCCAGGATGAATTGGCTTCATGAGTTAAAGCTCTAGACCATTAACGGAGACAAGGGCTCTCTTGGCAATTAGCAAACAGAAATAATCCACCATAGAAAGTCAGAAAACTCCAATCACTTGTTATATTTTCTTTAAACTACATTTACTTGTTTATTGGAGAGTCATGCCATGGTGCATGTGGAGGTCAGAAATCAATGTTGAGGAGTTATTTCTTGACTTTCACCATGTGATTCCCAGGGACAGATCAAGTCCCTAAGTGTGGAAGCACTAGTCTTTACCCTTGATCCACATCACCACCCCACACTTTTTTAATATAACAAAATTATGCATTAGAGTAGTACTCTAATGTGTATATATTCTATACTTTCTTTATCCATTCTTTCATTGAGGGGCATCTAGGTTGTTTTCAGGTTCTGGCTATTACAAATAATGCTGCTATGAACATAGTTGAACAAATGCTTTTGTAGTATGATTGAGCATCTTTTGGAAAGGATGGACTCATATAGCTATTGATTTAAAAGATTATTTTTTACTATACCTTTATGAGAAAAAGACAGAGAAAAATTTGCCTTCATGGTACCTCCTTATAATAGTTTTCAGCTTGCTATGAGATACCAATGGAAGATTCTCCAACAGAGAAGCTTAAATAGCCACACCCTGTGCCAATATTTTGTACTGCAGCCTTTGGAAATGATGCAAAAGCTATTCCCTCAATCTATAGTTTCCCATTATATGGATGACAAATTACTAACTGATTCAAACATAGATATTTTAGAAAGATTGTTTGTAGATATAAAGAATATTTTGCCTTGTTTGAGATTACAAATTACTCCTTAAAAGATATGAAAAGGAGATTCTATTAATTATTTAGGATATAGAAAAGGTTGACAAAAAATCAGACCCTCAAAGGTACAAACAAGGAGAGATCAATTGCAGACTCTTAATGACTTTTGAAGATTGCTAGTAGAAATTTACTATTTAATATCTGGCTTACTATTGAGGTGAAAATGATGAGCTGAGTAATTTACAATTCTTAGTTAAGGGAGCCACCTTAGGGCTGGCAAGAGACTTGAACCTAGAGTGGCTCCCAGGAGCCCAAGGCGATGTCCCCAGTTAGTTCCTTGGGCAGATGAGGATAGGGAACCTGAAACGACCCTATCCTATAGCAATACTGACGAATATCTTGCATATCATCATAGAACCTTCATCTGGTGATGGATGGAGATAGAGACAGAGACCCACACTGGAGCACTGGACTGAGCTCCCAAGGTCCCAATGAGGAGCGGAAGGAGGGAGAAGATGAGCAAGGAAGTCAGGACCACGAGGGGTGCACCCACCCACTGAGACATTGGGGCTGATCTATTGGGAGCTCACCGAGGCCAGCTGGACTATGACTGAAAAAGCATGGGATAAAACCGGACTCTCTGAACATGGCGAACAATGAGGGCTGATGAGAAGCCAAGGACAATGGCACGGGGTTTTGATCCTACTTCATGTTCTGGCTTTGTGGGAGCCTAGGCAGTTTGGATGTTCATCTTCCTAGACATGGACTGAGAGGGGAGGACCCTGGACTTTCCACAGTGCGGGGAACCCTGACTGCTCTTTGGACTGGAGAGGGAGGGGGAGAGGAGTAGGGGGAGGGGAAGAAGGGTGGGAGGAAGGGGAGGGAAATGGGAGGCTGGTAGGAGGGGGAAACTTTTTTTCCCTTTTCTCAATAAAAAAATAAAATAAAATAAAAAAAAAACCTTAGATGGGAACCAGGACTTAAATATTCCAAGAGAATTATCAGCTGAAGCCAAGAGAAATTGGTGGAAAAAATTACAAGATGTACATCTGGATCATTTGAATCCAGAGTTTTATTATATTCTGATTATTTTACCCACTAAGCATATTATTTATGGAATATTAATGCAGAAAAAACACATTATCTTCGAATAAATCTTTTTACCACATAAACTGAGTAAAGAGTTAGAAACTCATTTGGCAGAGGTCTCTGAATTGATTATAAAAGGAAAATACAGTGCTCGCTTTGGCAGCACATATTCTAAAACTGTGACGATACAGAGAAGATTAGCATAGCCCCTGGGCAAGGATGGCACACAAATTCGTGAAGCGTTCCCTATTTTTATCCAACATTCTGCTTTTTACAATAAACACACCTCAGTCACAAAGACAGACATTACCTCAGAGTAAAGGGTTGGGAAAAGTTTTTTCAATCAAACGGACCTAAGAAACAAGTGGGTTTGGCTATACTAATATATAACAAAATTGACTTCAAAATAAAATCAATCATAAGAGATGGAGAAGGACACTTTATACACATAACAGGAACAATTCATCAGGATGAAGTCTCAATCCTGAATATCTATGCCCATAATATAAAAGCACACACATATGAAAAAGAAACGTTACTAGAACTCAAGGCACACATCAAACCCCACACACTAATAGTAGGAGACTTCAACACTCCTCTCTCACCAATGGACAGATCAACCACACAGAAACTTAACAGAGAAATAAGAGAACTAACAGAGGTAATGAATCACATGGACTTAACAGACATCTATAAAACATTCCACCCAAATAGAAAAGAATATACTTTCTTCTCAGCATCTCAGGGAACCTTCTTGAAAATTGATCATATACTCGGTAACAACACAAATATCCATAGATACAAAAAATTGTAGTAACCACCTGTGTGTTATTGGATCACCATGGAATAAAGTTAGAATTTAACAACAATTCTACCCCCAGAAAGAGTACAAACTCATGGAAAGTGAACAGTCACCTACTGAACCACCCCTGGGTCAAGGAAGAAATAAAGAAAGAAATTAAATTCTTCCTTGAATTCAATGAAAATAAAGACACAACATACTCAAATTTATGGGACACTATGGAAGCAGTGCTAAGCAGAAAGTTCATAGAACTAAGTGTCCACATTAAAAAAAAAAACAAAGAAATCTCACACTAGAGACTTAACAGCACAGCTGAAATCTCTAGAAAAAAAATAAGCAGACTCACCCAGGAGGAGTAGAAGACTGTAAATAATCAAACTGAGGGCTGAAATCAATAAGATAGAAACACAGAACACAATCCAAAGAATCAATGAAACAAAGAGCTGGTTCTTTGAGAAAATCAACAAGATTGACAAGCCCCTATCCAAACTAATCAAAAGGCAGAGAGAGAACACCCAAATTCACAAGATCAGAAATGAAAAGTGGGACATAACAACAGACACTGAGGAAATTCAGAGAATCATTAGGTCTTACTACAAAAGCCTGTATGCCACAAAGTTGGAAAACGTAAGAGAAACGGACATTTTTTAGATAAATACCATATACCAAAGTTAAATCAAGACCAGGTGAGCAATCTAAATAGACCTATAAGTCGCGAGGAAATAGAAGCTGTCATAAAAAAACTTCCAACCACAAAAAGCCCAGGACTGATGGGGGACTTTAGCCAATCACGTGCTGTATAATGTGTGTCCCTCTGGGGGTCCCAAATAGCCTATAAAAACATCGATTGCACTTGTTTTTTCTCTTTGTTTTCCTGTGCTCCTGAATTGCTGGAACCCTGGTTTTGTAAGTTCCCCCTTTTCCCTTTATTAAAGCTGAATATTTTATATTAAGGCTATTCTGGTTAATTCTAACTGCCGATTGATCATGCCCCTTCACAGGACCAGATGGTTTTAATGCAGAATTCTACCAGAACTTCCAAGAAGAGCTGATACCTATACTCCTTAATGTGTTTAACATAATAGAAACAAAACAGTCATTGCCAAACTCTTTTTATGAAGCTACAGTTACCCTGATACAAAAACCGCACAAAGACTCAACCATGAAAAGAATTACAGTCCAATCCCACTCATGAACATCAATGCAAAAATTCTTAATAAAATACTGGCAAACCTAATCCAAGAACACATAAAAAAATCATCCCTTATGATCAAGTAGGCTTCATCCCAGAGATGAAAGGCTGGTTTAACATATGAAAATCTATCAATGTAATCCATAATATAAATAAACTGAAAGAAAAAAACCATATGATCATTTCATTAGATGATGAAAAAGCATTTGACAAAATTCTACACCATCTTATGATAAAGATCTTGGAGAGGTTAGGGATACAAGGATCATATCTAAATATAATAAAAGCAATATACAGCAAGCCAACAGCTATCATCAAATTAAATGAAGAGAAACTCAAAGCCATTCCACTAAAATCAGGAACAAGAAAAGGCTGTCTACTCTCTCCATATCACTTCAATTAGTGCTTTAATTTCTAGCAATAGCAATAAGACAATATAAGGAGATCAAGGGGACTCGAATTGGAAAGGAAGAAGTCAAACTTTTGTTATTTACAGATGATGTGAAGTGTACATAACTGATCCCCAAAAATCTACCAAAGAACTCCTACAGCTGATGTGTCAGGATGCAAGTGATGTGGCAGGATACAGTGATGTGGCAGGATACAAGATCAACTCAAAAAAATCAGTTGCCCTCCTATACACAAAGGGTAAAGATGCAGAGAGGGAAATCAGAAAAACTTCACCTTTCACGATAGCCACAAATAGCATAAAGTATCTTGGGGTAACTCTAAACAAGGAAGTGAAAGATCTATTTGACAAGAACTTTTAGTCTTTGAAGAAAGATTGAAGAGGATACCAGAAAATGGAGGGATCTTCCATGCTCTTGGATGGGTAGGATCAACATATTAAAAATGGCAATTCTACCAAAGGCAATCTATAAATTCAATGCAATTCCCATCAAAATCCCAATAAAATTCTTCACAGACCTTGAGAGAACAATAATCAACTTTGTATGGAAAAAGTGAAAAAACCCAGGATAGCCAAAACAATCCTATACAATAAAGAAACTTCCGGAGGCATTGCCATCCTTGACTTCAAACTCTATTACAGATCTACAGTAATGAAAACAGCTTGTCATAAAAACAGAGAAGTCGACCAGTAGAATTATATAGAGACCTGGTTATTAACCAACAAACCCATGAACACCTGATTTTTGACAAAGGAGCTAAAAGTATACAATGGAAGAAAGAAAGCATCTTCAACAAATGGTGCTGGTATAACTGGATGTCAACCTGTAGAAGAATGAAAATAGATCCATATCTATCACCATGTACAAAACTCAAGTCCAAATGGATTAAAGACCTTAATATAAATCTGACCACACAGAACCTGATAGAAGAGGAAGTGGGAAGTAGACTGCACCACATGGGCACAGGAGACCACTTCCTACATATAACCCCAGTAGCACAGACAATAAGGGCAACAATGAATAAATGGGACCTCCTGAAACTAAGAAGCTTCTGTAAAGCAAAGGACATTGTCATTAAGACATAAAGGCATCCTACTGAATGGGTGAAGATCTTCACCAATCCCGCATCAGACAAAAGTCTGATCTCCAAAATATATAAATAACTCAAGAAATTGGACTTTAAAATTCTAATTAACCCAATTAAAAATGGGGAAGTGAACTGAACAGAGAATTCTCAACAGAAGAATTTCAAATGGCCAAGAGACACTTAAAGTCATGCCGCAATTCTTTACTCGCCTCAGATTGGCTTCAAGTCCCCACATACCCTATCATTTGCCTTCCAACGTGGATTTAAACTCCACACCTCCTGGAATCCATGGGCCCGGACTCTCTCTGCCTGCTTGGTATGATTTTTTCTGAGATTTTTATTTTTATTTTTCCATTCAAAAATTACACTTTCTTCCCTCCTCCTATTCCCCTCCAGTCTGGGCACACTTCAGCACCATTAGTGGAAGAGAAGCCTTGCAAAGGGTATCACACAGCTGGAGGGAGAACACAGAGGGCTCATTGCTGACAGACAAGCAACGATGGACCTGATTTCAATTCTCTCCCTGGACTTGGGTCCTCCCGGTAATCAGCCTGGTGCTCCTATACCGGTGAGTAACCACCAAAGTTCCTCTTCCACCGTGTCCTTGGGTTGGGGCTGTATTCAGACCTGTATTCTGGTATTGAGTGCAAGGTCAAAAGTGACAAGGAAAGCAGGGTCTGGAGAGATGGCTCAGTGATTAAGAGCACTGATTGCTCTTCTATTTGACCCAGGCTAGAATCCTGCTATCCACACGGCTCACATCATCTGTAACTACAGCCCCAGGGGACCCAATGCCTTCCACAAGCACCAGAATACAATTATAAAACATGATAATAGAAATTAAAATTAACTCTTATAAAAAAACTTTGAAATCACATGCTTTTTATTATTGTGAATAGAGGCAGCACATGAGACACGCGTGTGTGTGTGTGTGTGTGTGTCTGTGTCTGTGTGTTTGTGTTACAAGAAAACTTTGAGGAGTCTTTTCTTTCCTATTATGTCGATCCTGAGGGTCAAACTAAGGTTGTCAACTTCGGCAGCCAGTGCCTTTACCTGTGCAGTCATCTTGAAGGCCTGAGATGAAATAATTGTGTTCATTTTGAATTTTTATTTTTGGCAGAAAGTGGTCTCAAACCAGAGCCTATATGTGCTAGTCAAACACTCTACCACTGTACTAAAGCCCCAGTGACACTAACTATTAAAGTTCATGTTTATGTTATGCAGATCTGCTGGGCACACATACACACTTTCAACTCCCTCTTGCTGAGGTGAGGAGGGTTTCGGATTAGATTTACTCTTGGTATGACCTGAGTGACTTTCAGGTTACACCTAGAGCCACCAGAACTCAGTAGGAGCGTATACAAACCATGGGCTGCCAAGCACATTGGACCCCTCACCCAGCCCCTAAGCTCTGGGAACTGAAGGGACAGCCATGTTGTTGGTATGTTTCATGATTTGGCTTTTTTTTTGTTTGTTTTTTTTTTTTTTGATTTTTCGAGACAAGGTTTCTATGTGGTTTTGGAGCCTGTCCTGGAACTAGCTCTTGTAGACCAGGCTGGTCTCGAACTCACAGAGATCCGCCTGCCTCTGCCTCCCGAGTGCTGGGATTAAAGACGTGCGCCACCACTGCCTGGCTTCATGATTTGGCTTTGGTTGTGTTTATCTCCTCTCTGCTTGTGGTCAAAGACTTTCTGTTTCTCTCTATATATAAGGGACCCGTAACCATGATGTTTTTTAGAAACAGGGAATTCCAGGACCCAAAC